GTAGAAAAGTAGAAAGAAAAAAATATTAACACTAATACTAATACTAAAAGGAAATAAAAAAAAAATGAAAACTAATAATGTAATTAATACCTTTGAATAAATTGATATGATTAAAAGTAAGCTTTATTGTGTACTAAATTATTATTATGATAACTTGAAGCTTGATAGACTTGTTGCTTCACTCTTGGATCTGTGTTGAAAAAGTTTGTTGTTTATAACTAAGCAAAAAAAAAGTGAAACAATTAATGAATTGCGATGTTTATATAAAAATAAAAAGTCTAAGTATCATATAACAAACTTATCCAAAAGACAAGAAAGTAAACCTTCACACAAAAAACAAAAAAAAATAAAATTATATGGTAAAAGTTTGTTTAGTTCTTTTAGTTTTAATGTGGATGAAGTTGACAGATATTTGGTATTACAAGAAATTCCAAAGAATCAAGATGCACTTATTTGGTAGAAGAACAACAAAAAAATTTTTGCATTCTTTCTGAACTAGCAAGAAAATATTTTGCTATTCAAGCAACATCAAGTGCTAGCGAGAGACTCTTTAGTGATGCTAGAAATATTATAACAAATAAAAGAACATCTTTAAAGCTAGAAGTATTTGAAACTTTAATATTTCTTAAAAGAAATGGTCTAGTAGTAGGTAAAATTTTTAACTATAATAGCTAATACAACAAATAACTTTGAGTATTTGAAGTTTATAAAATATATACCAATAATATGTATATATATGTATAATAAATAAATATTATTAACTGCTAATATGAAACTTTGCTACTCTTAATTTTTTTTTTAAAAAAAAAGAAAAAACATAGATTAGCAATTAGCAGTTAGTTATGATCTAGTTTGTTTGAGTAAGATGATACATAGCGATAATTAAAAAATAATATTAAAATTTTTTGATAATTGCTATTATACTTGATTAGAGAAATCTGTGTAATAAATAGTGGCATACAGTTTGCCAATTATGATATCACTATAAATATCTAATATGATACTAATCATCACATATTTGAATTCAAACTATATATATGTCGCTATACTGATCTTATACATACTCTACTGTCTATAATATCATAGCCTTATTAAAAAACTTCCAGACCAATTTGAATAATACTTGGGTCCTACGTATATATACAAGGAGAAAATTCTATATCATTTATATGGTAACCAGTTAATTAGGATAACAACGCATTGCACTCGCAATAATGAATACAATTTACATATTAATATATTTGCAGCTAATCAAAATTTTAAACAAAAAAACAACTATGTATAAAAATAATTATATTTGTGATTAAATTAATACTAGCAGAAATCTTTACCATAAAACTCGATGACTTCAAACCTCAAACTATAATCTTGTCACTACAAAATTCTGACTTACTATGAATCAAAAAAAAAGCAACTAAAAAAAAAAATACAATAAAACTGAAAAATCTAAAAATAAATATTTAATTTTATTCTATAATACTAATAATTAATAAAAAAAATAGTCATAAATGGCTTTTAGTTAAAGTGCTACTACTTTGCTTTAACTTTTCTTACAAAATCTATAAGCTCTATAACTTATGACTTCATATTATTTGCCTATATTATAGTTAATTTTTTTCATTAGTTGGGATTATGAAGAATAAGTTTTTACGTATAAATTGCAGAATCGATTTACTGTGCCTTATAAGCTAAATCTAAATATTTAAATATACCTTTTATCTGATTTCTGGATTACTTTGTAGATTACCGAATTACTTTGATAGCTTATAAAGCAAGACAGTAAGCTTTCTAACTTTTTTGTATTGCCCTTTCTGAATTT